TGCAGGATAATGACGTTAGCTTGTGCATGTGCTTACGAAACCCAAACCATGTAAAGAAAGGGAAAAGATCTGTAACTCCCCAGACTTTCTTTGTAGCCCACCATAGTCAACTTCACACATCCAAAGAGAGCTTTTTATTCCAAATTTGTGAAGTGTCTCTACCTCTGATAGCCCTGATGCAGCATATTGGTCAGCCGCTGCCCTCTTGCCGAGCCCAGTACCCATCCCCTCTACAAACGCCGTCCATCAGCTCCGAACCTTCCCACTCCTCTTTTTTTAAATTAATTAATTAATTAATTAATTAATTTTTTTGTTAATTACACTTTATTCATTTTGTATCCCCCCCATAAGCCCCTCCCTCCTCCCCTCCAGATCCCACCCTCCCTCCCCTTTCTGCATGCATGTCACTCCCCAAGTCCACTGATAGGGGAGGTTCTCCTCTTCTTTCTGATCTTAGTCTATCAGTTCTCATCAAAAGTGGCTGCATTGTCCTCTACTGTGGCCTGGTAAGGCTGCTCCCCCCTCAGGGGGAAGTGATCAACGAGCAGGCCAATCAGATTATGTCAGAGGCAGTCCCTCTTCCCATTACTATGTAACCCACTTGGACACTGAACTGCCATGGGCTACACCTGTGCAGGGGTTCCAGGTCATCTCCATGAATAGTCCTTGGTTGGAGTATGATTTTCTGGGAAGTTCCCTGTGTTCAAATTATGTTGTTCTGTTGCTCTCCTTGTGGAGTTCCTGTCCCCTCCAGCTCTTACTATTTCCCACTTCTTACATAAAATTCCATTCACTCTGCCCATCAGTTGGCCATCAGGCTCAGCATCTGCTTTGACAGTCTATACTGCAGAAGCTTTCAGAGGCCCTCTGTGGCAGGTTTCAAGGTTGTTTCCTGTTTTCTTCTGGCTTTCAGAGGCCCTCTGTAGCAGGTTCCGAGGTTGTTTCCTATTTTCTTTTTCTTCTGATGTCCATCCTCTTTGCCTTTCAGGATGGGGATTGCACATTTTAGTTAGGGTCCTCTCTTTTGCTTAGTTTGTTTAGATGTACAGATTTTAGTGGGTTAATTTATATTGTATGTTTATATGAGTGAGTATATACCATGCATGTCTTTTTGCTTCTGGGACAACTGACTCAGGATGATCCTTTCCAGGTCCCACCATTTACCTGCAAATTTCATGATTTCCTTATTTTTCATTGCTGAGTAATACTCCATTGTATAGATGTACCACAGTTTCTGCATCCATTCTTCAGTTGAGGGGCATCTGGGTTGTTTCCAGCTTCTGGCTATTACAAATAAAGCTGCTACAAACATGGTTGAGCAAATGTCCTTTTTGTGTACTTGCGCCTCTTTTGGGTATATGCCTAGGAGTGGTATGGCTGGATCTTGAGGAAGCGCTATTCCTAGTTGTCTGAGAAAGCGCCAGATTGATTTCCAGAGTGGTTGTACCAGTTTACATTCCCACCAGCAGTGGAGAAGGGTTCCCCTTTCTCCACAACCTCTCCAGCATGTGTTGTCCCTTGAGTTTTTCATCATAAAACCAGACACATTAAATCGGCTAGAAAAAAAAGTGGGGAATACCCTTGAACTCATTGGCACAGGAGACAACTTCCTGAACAGAACACCAACAGCACAGGCTCTAAGAGCAACAATCAATAAATGGGATCTCATGAAATTGAAAAGCTTCTGTAAAGCAAAGGACACCATCATCAAAACAAAGCGACTGCCTACAGATTGGGAAAGAATCATCACCAACCCTTTATCTGACAGAGGACTCATATCCAATATATATAAAGAACTAAACAAGCTGAAAAGCAACAAACCAAGTAATCCTCTTAAAAAATGGGGAACAGAGCTAAAGAGAGAATTCTCTGCAGAGGAATATCGAATGGCAGAGAAGCACTTAAAGAAATGCTCAACCTCATTAGCCATTAGGGAAATGCAAATCAAAACAACCCTGAGATTTCACCTTACACCCATCAGAATGGCCAAGATGAAAAACTTCCCACTCCTCTTAATTCACATCCCAGACCGTGTCCCTCACACGGCTACGGCTGTGTTGACACCCTTGCACGACAGAATCCACTCTTTCTATGGTATGTGCACTGACATGCTAAGATACAAACCAGCCCTGGTTTATTTTCTTGTCAACTTCACACAAGCTAGAATTTTCTAGGAAGAGAAATTTCATTTGAGAAAAACCTCTAATAGGTTACTTGTAGGCAAGTCTGTAGCATATTTTTTAAGAAATGACTAATGTGGAAGGGTCCAGCCCCACTGGCGGGGGTGGAGGATAGTGCTGCTCCCACAGAGAGGGTCCTGGGTTATGAAAGAAAGCAGGGCGAGCAGACCAGGGAGAGTGAAGCCATAAGCATTGTCTCTCCACGGCCTCTGCTTTAGTTCCTGCCATGAGTTCCTGCTCTGATGATAAGCTGTAAAGCGAAACTAACTTTTTTTTTCTTTCTGCAAGTTGCTTTTGGTTATGAAATTTTATCACAGCAATAGTAAGCAAAAACAAAGCAAAATCCAATCAAGTCACCCCCTCGCCTCAAAGCCCCCTGATGGGCTTTCCTTGGAATACAGTGCACGCTCTTCACTGAGCCTTAAAAAGTCAGCTACAGCACCGCCACCAGCAGAAGGGTCTTCCTTCTGCTCCTTCCTCCGGCTTCCATCTCCTCCCACCCGCCATGCTGAGGGCGTGCATGCCTCTGCAACCACCCTTTCCTCTATCTGGGGCGCTCACTTTCTAGCTTTCCCTGGCTTATTCCGTGTCCTTCACTCTCAGCTCAGGAGTCATTTCAGGAAGAGTTTCCTGCGATCACACCATCTCTGCCCCCACTCTCACAGTCATTCTCCTGTTCCCCTCTTCTACGGCATCTCTACCAACTCACAGGCTCTTTTTCTGAAATGTGAACTCCTGGAGAATTCTTGTGTAACTCTGTTCTGTCCACAGTATGTTCTAAAGGCTTTCACACATTATCTCATCCTATCTGTACAATATTCCTATGGGGAAGACTGTTATAACCATTATTTCAGGTTAAAGAAGCAAAGACTCAGAGAATATAAATAATTTCTCAAGCTCATATAGCTATGACACAGTGACCCAGTACCAGCTAGTTATTATGTCAACTTGACACAGTTTAGAGTCATCTGGGAAGAGGGGCCTATGGGGCATTTTCTTAATTAGTGATTGATGTGGAAGAGCCCAGCCATTGTGGGTGGCACCAACCTTGGCAGTTGGTCCTGTGGCATATATAAAAGCAGGCTGAGCAAGCCAGGGAGAAGAAGCTAGCAAGCAGCACTCTTTATCACCTCTGCATCAGTTCCTGCCTTAACTTTCGTGAATAATGGACTACAATTTGTAAGATGTCATCAAGCCCTTCCTCCTCAAATTGCTTTTGGTCATGGTATTTAACCACAGCAACAGCAACCCTAACTAAAACAGACCTACAAGAAACATCACCTTAAGCTGTAATGAATACTGCCCAAAACCTGTAAAGAATACTGCCCAAGCATAGGAATGATTTCCTGACTTCTGATCCATAGTATTTCTGACATCTGGCTCCAAATACTAATTATTTAGAAAAAATAATTAGGAAAATAGACTAGATGGAAAAATGACTGTCCCTGTCCAGTTTGACTTTCTCATCTGAAAATTGGGTTAATATAGAGGAGAGATGGTGTCAGCCGTAAGTTAGTTGACGCATTGGTGGTCCTGAAAAGGTGGACCCACCCAGGAGCAGCAGCACCTTAGTAGGCGAAATAGAAAGAGGTCTCAGCATCACCACACAGCCACTGATCACAGGGATGGGGACCTGAGATCTGCATAATCCACCTTCCTGGTGTTTACAATAGGCTAAACTCGGAGCATCACCTGTAGGAAGATCTTACAGTCCGTGCCTGGTGCAGAGTAAGTGACCATCACGAGGTTGTTCGTCAAGAACAAGCCAGGCAAACAGTCTTGTGGCGTCCTCACCAAGGACACGTTTGCCAGCAGGATGATCTTACATAAGACTGCTCGAGTTTCAATATTCTTCACCTCCTTGGACCCTTTGCTCTGAATGCCAGTTGCATTGCCTCCGAAATTTTTTAAATGAGCATTTTTTTAATGGATTAAGTTATTTGTTTCCTTTACATCTCCATCGCAGGTTCTCCTCCCTCCTCTCCTCTCCATCCCTGTCCCTCCTTCCCACCTCACCCCTCACTTCCGCCTCCAGCTCTTTTGACAAACATAATTTGCTTCTTATGTACATTCGATAGCCACCTATTGGGAATAACTGACTTAATTCATTCCTGCCTTGAGAAGAGCTCACAAGGCAGAATATCCTCCTGTATGTTATGTTATCTTGTTCCAAATGGACAAGAGGTGTGTGTGTGTGTGTGTGTGTGTGTGTGTGTATGTGTGTCTGTGTACATACATACCCCTGAATAGTGAGTGTGTGCTAGAGTAAAATTTGAAGTGGATTTGCACAGCCACATTTCAAATCTGCTAAATAGTCTATCAGCAGGGTCATTTTATTAAGCTCTATGGGGAAATGCTAAGAGTCAGAGACGGTTCTGCCCTCAGGGAGGTTTGGTATAATTGGAAGACTTGAAGCAGTCACAAAATAATACAATAATGGACATCCCTAACAGTTTCCCACTGATAAAGCAATTCCGAAAGAGTGAGCTCTAGCCATGGAGAGAACTGGGAAAGGCTGCTTGGTAAAGTTGTACTTGATATCACAAATATGTGTCTTTATCCAAAAGCACTTAAAATTTCTCAGTTTGGCTCCAAGTGAATAATCTCAATGTCTACCTATTTTTACAGCTAAGAATGGAACATATGTGCACGGATAAAGATGAGACAAGGGTGTAAATAAAGGCTGGGGTGTGACTGAGGGCCTGAGGGCTGGCCTAGCAGGTATAAGATCCTGAATTTAGGAGCAGTATGAAGAAGCAGTGACAGCGACCCCCGGAGGGACCACACCCACACCGCAATGAATCCCCACATCCAGCGCTGATGTACCCCACCACTGCCGTGCTCAAAAGAAAGGCTGAAGGTGATGCCAAAGGAGATAAAAGCAAGATGAAGGACGAGCCTCAAAGATCTGCCAAGTTGTCTGCTAAACCTGTTCCTGCAAAGCCAGAGCATAAGCCTGAAATGGCCCCTGCAAAGGGAGAGAAGGTACCCAAGGGGAAGAAGGGGAAAGCTGATACCAGTAAGGATGAAAATATTCCTGCTGAAAATGGAGACCCCCAAACAGGCCAGGCACAGAAAGCTGAAGGTGTTGGAGATGCCAAGTGTTGTGTGTGCATTTTTGATAACTGTGTACTCTGGTGACGGTACAGTTGGAAATACTATTTTTTATCAAGTTTTACAAAAAATGCAGAATTTTTTTTTAAGCTAGGATGTTAGCACACAGAACACGTCCTTGTTTTGGGGGAAAAGAAAATGTCTCCCAAGCTGGACTGATGACAGAAAACATTTTTCCCTGATTATTTTGAAAGGCTCCTGTTGGTTCTCAGGAGAGACATCCTAGAATTGACGTATGTGGTCACCATGGCACAAAATGACTTATGGTAGGAGACAATTCTAAATTCAATTTTTGTATCCTGTACCATCAACATTGACTTAACTCCCTGAAAACCAGAGACCTGTTGGAACCTGACACCCCAAACTGGTTTTCCAGTCTATTGGGCCATCTGGACTTTGCAGTGACATCACTGAATGCCCTTAGAAGAGTGGGCTTCCTTTTATAAAAAGTTGTGGATCTTTAGATTCATAATTCTGCCATTTTAATTTCATTTCCTGAAAGTCAGGGTCGGCCTGTGAAAAGTTGTTAAACAACATCCTTAATGTGAAATGTCAACCCTCACCTACTTCCCGCCTTTCAAAGCACCAAATGAAGATTTCATTGGCTTTCTGATTTTGTCTGAAATACCATGATTGTTTATGAAAAGTATCTTTTATAAAGCTGGATACAGTTAAACCTGGGGGAAAAAAGATCCTCAGTTTAATCCTCAGCATGTTAAAAACAAAACAAAACAAAACACCAGAAAGCAAACACAGGCACAAAAACCCCAAAGCATGAAACAGCTTTAAGGGAAGACAAACCATCTAGAACCAGTGATTCAGTGCCATAAAACATACACCCAATCAGAAAAGGTTTCTTAAAAACCACAGGCTGCTCATAGCAGCAAATACCATGAGAGAGTCATTAGAAGGGAGAACCCCATGACTGCTTTTCAACCAGTACAAAGTTATAGTGATCATAAAAATACCGATGCTCCAGTGCAATGGTAGGAAGAGATGTTCTTACACAATTTAAGAAGTTCAAAAATGAAACAATTCATCTGGGAGAATTCTCACACTCTACCTAGCTCTGTAGAAATCCTAGGTAATGGGACATGAGGTAAGGAGTGAGGATACTTAGTGATCGTTTTGGGGATGCTGTGAAAGGGTCTTCTTAGAGTTGACATGGTGAACCCTGGGGTGTTTGTAATGGATTATGAAGCCAGAGTAGCAGGAGGAAACACTGTACTCAGTAATAACCACCTTGACTTGTTATCGTTGGCTCTGCAGTGTCTCTAAAGGCTCAGGTGCTGAAGGGTTGCTCCCTAGCCAACTGTGTGTCATTAAGAGGCGAGGCCTGGCAGACAGCCTTAGGTCACTGAGGGAAAATTCTTGAAGTGGATTATGGCACCCAGGTTTCTCATTCACATCCTAGACATGGAATAAACTATTTTGTTTCACCCACTGTGGCGTGTTGCTCCTCTTTAGGCTCAAAAACAAAACAAAACAAAACTGTGTCACATGACTATAAACTCAAAACACACCTCCTACCTCCTTTTTTAAAAATATGTGTATGGGTGTTTTGCCTGCATGTGTGTAAGTGTATCCACATGTATGCAGTGGCCAAAGAGGGTGTTAGATCCTTTGAAACTGCAGTGACAGATTGCCGTGAACTGCCTTGTAGATGTGGGAACTGAACACTGGTCCTCAGCAAGAGCAGTAAGTGCTCTTAACCGCTAGGCAATCTCTCCAGCCTTCTAAACCACTTCTCTTTAGAAGTTATCTTAGGTGATTTTAACACACATGTTACAAGGAATGGCTTCCATTGTGGTAAAATGTCTGCACTCTTCTGGAGCACCAAATGGGATCAAAGTAAAAAATGAGTCCATATTGTATTTGAGGCATCGATAGGTTTTTTTTTTCCTGAAATATTTGTGTTTTACTTAGACACGCAAATCTGCAGTGCAGTTTCCAATTTAACTGCATGCTGTCTCCATTCTGAACTAGACTAGAAGCAGTAAGTTGCACCTTGTTTGTTCTTTGCTCTAGGAGAATGTAGCGCTGAAACAGCTAGAGGTAGGGTGGGCCTCTAGAGGTTCTCTGGTAGGTCTCTGAAGATGGATCTGCCAGGATCCTGAAGGCAAGACATGCCACCAGTCATGGCTAGCCTCTGAAACTATGCACCCTCTTGTTAATGACATAGTGCTGGCCCCAAGAGAGGTACAGAACTTGTCTCCATATTTTTATGGGAGTCTGACTATGTTTCACGGGGTTTACTATCATTGCCAGGTTTAGAAGATGTGATCCTCTTCAGTCACAGAAACATATTGAGAACCTGTTATATAAATACATGTTGTGGATATAGCGAAAGAAAAAAGAAAAACAAGTACTTCTCCTTACATCACACGGAGGACGAGTGGAGAGAGAAATAATACGTCCATAAGCAAGACAGTGCTGGGCACTGTTGTGAGCAATAGTAAGTAGAGCAGGTTTGGGAAGATTCCTTAGATCAGTGCTGTCAGGACAGGCCTGTCTTGGCCAGGGAAAACAAGGAGGAGGAAAGTCAGGTGAGTTTCCATCAGGCAGAGAGCAGAAGTTTTAGAAGGTTGAAAGAGTACATTATGGTAGAGCAGTCGTGGCGGCAGGAGTTTGAGGTGGCTGGCCACATTGCATCGGCTGTCAGGAAGCAGAGGACGATGCATGCTGGTGCTCAGCTCACATTCCCTTTTTGTTCAGTGTGGGACTACTGCCCATCCGTATGTCCAGTGTGGGTCTTCCTACCTCAATTAAAGTAACCTGGAAACACTGACAGAGACTCACGTCGAGGTGTGTCTACCAGGTAATTTATAAATCCTGCCAATAATGTTGACCATCACAAGAAAAAAGAATGTATGATATGGGGGGAGTTTATTGGACTGGCTTATCCAGTTGGAAGCTAAGGAATCCAACTATGGTTTGTATGTATCTTGGAAGATACAGAGAACCCCAAAACTGCTCCGTTCAAAATGCTGGCAGCTTCAGAACAGGGTAGACCACTGATATAATTCCACTCCAACACAGAAGGCCCAGGCTCTCGGTGGAGTCACTGGTGTGAGGCTGCTTGGAAGGGCTGAAGAAGTTGGAGTATGGTGCCCATGGCGATACCAGCAGCATTAGGCACACTTGCTCATGAAGAACGGAGCTCGTGTGAACTGGCTGGCTTTTTCTTTGCCTAATGCGATTCCATTTGGCCCCTCAACCCATTGAATGGAAATACGTTCAGGAAAGGTTTCTCCCCTTAGATGCTTTTATGCATATCATTCTCTGGGAATACCCCCAGAGACGACCAAAAGTATCAAGATTAAGCATCAAATTCTACTTATTCACTGTCAGGATTCCATTGCCCAGATCCTGCCCAATAAGTACCTGCTACTCAACCAAGGTCTTTTGACTGGCCCCACACCAAAGTCACCACACACACGCATTTCAAGGTCAGCGTTACATAGGATGTTCTCCATGGTGACAGAGTGACTGACATTTCACTTCAAATCTTCGGTTTCAGACTCTTAGGGCTACTAGACTGCATCTTTTGCTACCTAAATGAAGATCCATAATAGGTAGGTAATTATAACATGCCTTAGCCTGCTCTTGAATAATTAAATATTTTATTGTGATGTTACAACTTGAATTTATTATCCTTTACTGAGGAACAAAATTAAACATAATGAGAGCTGTTAGTCTCTTCTCAGCTCTGCCATATCCTGCACCTTCTATCATTTTTACTACTTTGATTAATGGGTTTAATTTACTTTCACCAGGATATGCAGGAATTGGTGGGGAGGGGAGTAGAGACTGTTAAAATCCTTTTAATTAGCCTAATAATGCCAAATCTGCATGTGTTAACAAGGGTGCTCTGTTAATTAGCTTTTGTAGGTGATTTCTGGAAAGGCAGCACAGCCTTGTAAAGTATTCCTGGTGACACCTGGTGATCCATTATGTGGACAAATAGAGCACTGCATGACACATCCCCTCATTGGAGAACCCTTAGCCTCTTGACACACTGATAGCTGCAAATTGTGGATGGATGAATCCCTGACCTGAACTGACTGACTTGGCTTTTGTTTATCCATCCAGGTCCACACCTGCCCCCATTTTCAACCCGTTTTCTCTTCCAGTGCTATCTGCCTAAACCATGCAGTCTGCCACTTAGGCTGGTTTGGCCATTGGCAGCCCCAACAAAAGACCAGGGGATGGTAGTCTACCCCCTTCTCCAAAGGGAACATGGCTCAGAACCCCTTGATAGTATCTGAAACCACACACAGCACAGAACCATGTAACTTAACCCCCTTTCCATCTTCTCTGAGATACTTCTCTGAGTATGTATGTATTCTCTGAATTTGCCATTTGATATCTGATAACAAAATTGAGATGAATTTCTTTACAGTTCTACAAGCAGAAGCCTTTTTTTTTTTTTTTTTTTTTTTTTTTTTTTTTTTTTTTTTTTTGAGACAGGGTTTTTCTGTGAAGCCTTGGCTGTCCTGGACTCTCTTTGTAGACCAGGCTGGCCTCACAGTAATCTGCCTGCCCCTGCCTCCCTGAGTGCTGGGATTATAGGCACTTTTCCTTACATTTTTGGTTGTGAGCCTAGCATTTAATGGCTGAGCCATCTCTCCAGCCCTAGGCACTTCTTCTTAACCATAGACCTTAGCAAATTCTGTTATATTTCTTTCCTAAGTTGAAGATGGCTTTTTCTACTAAATGAAGCACACAGGCTTTACTTAGATAGATCCAGACCACCAGCAGCACCGTTTTCACACTTCTGATCTTTTCTGTAAAACAATGGCTACATAAAGACAAACACTGACGATGACAGTCTCTCTGGAAACCAAGACAGATGCTAAGTTAGTATTGAGGAGGTGGTGTACAGATACAGAGTTGACCGGCTGAATTAAGGGATGATCTGTGTCCTAAATAGGGTGGATCAGGATGGTACAAGATTTCATTATGCTACTGAGAAGGCTCTCAAAACATGAATGGTATGCTGATTTGGATGAGGATGTCTTACCAAG